CCTCCTTATTTCCTTATCTTTAAAATAAAATCTTATTTTAAAAAATAACTGAAGTAGTCTTCTGGGTTCTTTTTTCTACTTAAAAGAACCTAAATAATATAGGCCCACTTACCAGCATGTATCTGGCATACAAAAAGTTCTCAGTAGATGTTCATTAAACTGAATTCCATGAATAATCATATACTCTAAACGTGTTCAGATATAACAAGCTAAAAAACAACATAACTAAGGATGGTAGAGTATGACAAAAGCTTGATACAACCATTAAAATAAGTGGGTGCCACAAACCAAAGTTTACAAACTGCAGAATCCAGCTGGATAAAAAACTAACAGCCCTAGGGCTTACTAGGAAATAAGCCTAAGCTTACAGACCTAGAATAGGAACAAAGAAAGTTAATCCAAAAATAAATAAAATCAGGATGGCCAGTAGAATTCTAGTCCCAATTGAAAATCCAGCCTCAAAATGAAGTGATGTCTTTATTATTCTACAGGGAATTGCAGTCTCTCCTTTTCTTACTTCATCCTGACCTTCAGCCATTTCTGTGCTCTTTAGCACTGCTGAGACTTTCCAGAAGACATTCCAGAAAGTTTCTTAATACAAGTTAATGCAAGTCTTTCAGTCCACAATTAGAATCAAGCTTTGAAATGAAGATGATGTGAGAGCATACTCACTTAAACTCACATTAAAAGGTACGTGACTGACCTCTCTGGGCAAAGCAGAGCTGACTTGGTGAGGAATGGAGATGGTTCACTCGCCAGGAGAGAGGGAAACCATGTGGGATGGGTGTGCACTTGAGAAAACGGAGTTCTTGAAGATGGGAAAGTGAAATCAGGAAGTGAGGACTAGGGGAAGAGATAGTTACACAGCCATGTTCATACCAGCATTAAAGCAACCCAAGTGTTCACCAACAGATAAAAGGATAAAGAAATTGTGGCATACACATGCAATGGAATACTACTGTCTTACAAAGGAAGGAAATTCTGACATATGCTACAACATGAATAAAACTTGAAGACAATATTCTAAGTGAAATAAACCAGTCAGTCACAAAGGGACAAATACATTATGTCTCCACTTATATGAGGTACCTAGAGAAGTCAAATTCACTTGGGGCTCAGTGTTTAAGACTCCGCCTGCCAATGCAGGAGACACTGGTTTAATTCCTGGTCTGGGAAGACCTCACATGCTAAAGGGCAACCAAGCAAGTGTGCCATAACTACTGAGGCTGTGTTCTAGAGTCCAGGAACTACGGAGCCCATGCATCACAACTGAAGCCCCAGCACTAGAAAGCCTGTGCTCTGCAACAAAAGTCACCGCAATGAAAAGCCCACACACCCCAACTAGACAGGAGCCCCTAACATCATAACTAGAGAAAAGTCCCACGCAAAAGCAAGGAAGACTCAGCACAGTCATAAATAAATTAAAGTAGAATGGTGTTTGTCAAGGGCTGTGGGGAGCAAGGAGTTATTGTTTAGTGGGTAAAAGGGTTTCAGTTTTGCGAGGTGAAGAGTTCTGGAGAGGGATGGCAGTTATGGTTGTACATAATGTGAATATACTTAAATACCACTGACTGTGCACTTAAAAATGGTTAAGATAGTGATTTTTATGCTATGTGTATTTTATCACAATTGAAAATATATATTAATTTTTAACCAAATTGAAAGAATATCTAGGCATTAAAAAATAGGGAAAACAGAGCAACTTGTTTGCTTCATGACTTTGCCTAGGTCTTCTACTTCTGCCACCAAAGGGTCAGAAAGGGCACTTTAACTGACATGGCAAAATTGAGGGGACAGTACAGAGATCTCCCATGTTCCCCCTTCCCCAACACATGTATAACCTCCCCCTTACCAATATCCCCACTAGAGTGGAACGTTTGTTTTAACTAATGAATCTTCACTGTCACATTACAATCACCTAAAGTCCATAGTTTACATTAATATTCACTCTTGGTGTTAGATATTCTATGGGTTTGGAGGGAAATTTTTTTTTAATAATTCATAGTTTCAGAAAAACCCAAACAAACTTTTTGGCTAACCCAATATTAAATTATTCATGATGACTCTATTGCATTAGAACCCAACATGCGCAGAAGAGTGTGTTAAATGTGCATTAAAATAATAGAAATGTAAACATTTGCTATTCAAAGTGTGGTCTGAAGACAGCAACACAGGCAGGCCCTGGGAGGAATGTTAGAAATGCAGAAGCTCAGGCCCGTTCCAGACCTACAGAATCAGAATGTGCATTTATCAAGATTCCCAGGTAACTCCATGCATTAAAGCTTGAGAAGCAAACAAAAAAAAAAACTTGAGAAGCATTGTTGTAAACGATTCAGAACTGCTTGATCCGTTGAGATGGAAGGAAAATAGGTTATTAAAGTGCATTATTGTACTGTTGAGTCAAATTGAGGGAAAGGTCCATGTTTTGCTATTTCTTAAGTTCTTAAAAATGATTAAAGCCAAATCCATTTATTGTTTTGAACATAAAAAATACTTAAAACTGAAATTTTAATTCAATTTGTTGAAGACAGTATTCTCTGAAGACTGTATATAGCCAAATCCTAGCTTTTACAGAAGAGAAAAGATTAAAAGCAGCGAAGTGCCAAACACAAAGCTCTCACTGAGTGGCTGACGGTAGATGTGAAATTCCAAGAACTCATCATTACAGCAGAATTAATGCATGGTGGAGTAATATACTCACCAAGGAAAGTACTGCCCCTCATAAATCTTCAAAACAGTGAAATTTTGGTCACTGGTAATGTGAGGAAAACGACTAATATTCACAGCCAACTGGATTCACTTACTGAGATAAAATGATATACAGAGAGGTCAGAAAATATATGCTCAAATGTCCAATGAACACAAAAGGGTAAAAAATTTGACAAATATATATATATGTACCCAATACTAAAATAGGGTAAGAAAAAGAGAAAAACCCATGTTTGGATTGAGAAAGCATTCTCAGTGGGATTTTTTATGTGGTTTTATTCTAATGTGATTTCCCCCATTACCTCTGCAGCAGTCAGTTTCGATGCTAAGTTTACACTCAATGTGTGTGTGCATGCTCAGTCACTCAATCGTGTCCTATTCTTTGCAACCCTTTGGATTGTAGTTGGCCAGGCTCCTTTGTTCATGGGATTTTTCAGGCAAAATTACTGGAGTGGGTTGCCACTGTTCCCTCCAGGGGATCTTCCCAACCCAGCAATTGATTCTACATCTCCTGCATTGCAGGCAGATTCTTTACCTACTGAGCCACTGGGGAACACCTTATACTTAATATGAAGAATAAATTCCTAACAGGAGGATAACAATTAGTAACTGTAAATATAAAACAAAGATGACTGGGGGTGGGAGCAGAGGGGCAACTGCAATGCAAGATTCTGTCTCTGACACCAGGACTTCATGACTGGAAAACACTTTCCAGTTAATGAGAATCCTCAACAGTTACTGGGATCTCCGCCTGCTTTCATTTTCTTTTTTTCTGGCATACTTCCATTCACTCTGGCTTTTGCGATAGTAAAAATAAGAAAACCTGACTCACCTAAACCAAGTGTTATTTTACAAGTACAAACTGAAAATCAATCTACAGTGTGGCTTGTTTTTGCAACTGCTGTTGATTTTAAGCAACAATCCAGAGAACCCCTTGAGCCTTATATGAGCTCATCAGTAGCAAAAAAAAAATCATTCTTAAATAATTTTTAATGTTTTTCAGAGTGAAAAATAAATTCTTCAAACTGCTAAATGTCTTGGCACATTCCGTATGCCCGCCTAGCGTTCCTGTCACCCAATGAGAGCAGAGTTGAAAATAAAACCTCACCCCATGGCAAAATTAGAGGTGGATTTGGCTCCTGATTATTTGAAATGACCATAACATCTTAGTACTTGATTCCAGGTCCACAGGTGAAGTCTTCAGGGATGAATTTCATACTTTCATAAATGCTTTACTGACATTTTATCAATCTTATAGAACAATAGATAACATTTTGTTATCTGATAACAACTTAAAAACAGGGAGGAAGTTGTAAGAAACAAGAACCGCCCTTATGCTGTGATAAACATCTGCAGGCTTTGGCAACTGTCTGCTGAAGCAGTTTGAAGACAAAATGTTTTTATCTCAGAAGAAAGCTACACTGAAAGCTATACCTTTGACACTGGCAAAAACGTGGGACACATGAAGCTGAGACTCCCAGATCAGCTGCGAGTGGTGACTAGGTCTGCTGCTAAATGTCTGCTGTCACCAGATCCCGGGAAAGAACAAAGAAACATGGAGCTGAGCTGGGGTTCACCATGTGCAGGGGAACCTGCTCTGTGACTCCCAGCAACCTGAAAAATCACAGAATGAATGTTCAACCTAGAAAGGAAGCCTGAGGTCCCACATATACATGCCCACTAGAGAAGGAAACTGAGACCCATTCCAAGAACCTATGTCATATAAATGAGATATTAAACTTCATTTCCCTTCAAATTAATTCAGCTTTGTCCAATCACATGAAATGAAGATTCTATAAACTAAACCTTCCCTATATTCTCCTTATAGTTATTTTTGCCTCAGTCTTGAATACCTACATTTAGATGCCCTCCAAAATGCACAACTAAGGCATTATAAGTGTTCCCCTCTGGCTCCCAGAAACCATTAAGAGCACCTGAAAATACACAGAATCACAGAAAAATAAAGAACACATTTCATGGACACTTGCTGTTTTACCTAGACAGAGAAACTATTTACTTAAGCAAATTCTGGGTCTTTTAGAAGACAGTGTCAATTTTATTGCTTTTTGAAATGATATCTAAAGCCTGAAAATTTGCACATAAGCAATTTCCATCTTTAAATATATTTATGTGGTAAGGTAAAGTACATGCATATGAAGATACAGAATTTTTTTAATCATCATCATTTACATTAGAAATTTCTTTATACAACTTTTATCTTTAAAAAAATTAGTGACTGGTAAGAATCCTCTGAGACGGCAGCAAATCCAGCTTTCCATTTCAGCAGCCTTTCACTGAGAGACATGAGTGATGGCAGATGAAGGCCTCTTAAGAATAGACTCAACAGAAAATGACAGGGGCTCATTCACTGAGAGTTTTGTTCCGACTTGTTTGGCTACGAAAAGGTCTTTTGCACATCTATCTATTGTAAATGTGTATTTCTGGTTCTCCTTGACTAAACACTCCCTGGGTTTCTTAGGGGCCTCTTCAAAGGCCTCTTTGACAGATGATGTTTTCAACTCGGGACCTGATTTGTCATTATGAGTCTGTTGGAATAATGAGTGGAATGGATTATGTTTAAGTGGCAGAGGGTGCCTGGTGCTTTCTTTGCTGATCTTGGTTAAGACGTGCCCTTGAGCTGCCATGGTGTCCGTGTCAACAACGGGCGAGAAATTCCGTCGGGGTGGGGAGAACGCAGACCTCTCTGGGAGGGCCTGGTGACCCTGCAGGTCACTTCTTAAGATGTGGCCCTCAGGAGTGTGAGGCAGCACCAGAGAGCCTTCCAATTTTGGTGGCATCATGTCATGATCTGCTGCAAGTCCATCCTGCAGTCGCACTCCCTTCAAGTCCCAGCTGGTCCCAGGCTTCAGGGCCTGAACTGACGTGGTAGCATTCAGCAGGCACTGCTGGTAGAGGAGGGTGTCACTAATAGGGCCACACTTGGGCCAAACTAAAAGTCTCGAGGATAGGGGATACTGTCTGTAAGTCGTGGCCACGCTGACATTGGAAGAAATTAGTTCCATATTCCCAGAGCCTGAATACTGCATGGTGAGATCAAGGCAGGTGGGCAAAAAACTGCACAAGTCCTTGCTTGGTGGTTCCACTGGGGTGGGGCTGTAGGCACTTTTGTAGGAGCTGTACTCAGAACCGTGCACCATGCGGTTGGGCAGGAATAAGGCAGCAGCTTGGGAAGCTTCCAACATCTCCCTCTCTTTATATTCTCTCTCCAGCATAATGTTCTCCAACTCTTTATCCGCAAAGGCCCTCCTTTTCCTCATCCGGTCACTTACTGGGGGAGGTAGAGGTAAACTCCCTCCCACATAAGTCTCTGACGGAATGGGGCGGTAGCCTAAAATAAGTAAGCATTGCACATGACAGAGATTAACACCTAATAAGGAAAAATCTGGAAATCCAGAAGGCAACAGAAACAATGCTTATCAACACAACAGTTATGTACAGTTCCATATCACTAGTATTTTTATACAGAAAGCAAAAGTATGGTTCAATTTAAAATGAATCCCTTCCCAGGGAAGGATATCCATACTGTAACTTTTTGTTGTTGTTGTTTCTGTTGTTATGATAGGTTTGTTTATTTTGACAGGCATACTTTACTGGCTGAAATTTTAATATTCTTCCCAGGCTCCTATATATTAAGAAGACAAGGTTGCTCAGCTTGCTTCAATCAATTCTTTATTACTATCCATGTCACCTTTTTCCATTATTAAAAAAAGATATCTATACCTAGAGCTGATGTCACTTTTATTTTCTAAAGTTGGCTCATTATGTACACATTGTTACAGTTGCAGAATAATCCAAGGAGAACTAGGGAAAAAGAGAAATTTAAAGAAGATTAGTGAGGAGAAAAAGATGAAAGACTTAAGGAAACAGAAAAGCATAGAAAACTGAAAAGAGCTGTTAACTAGATAAAGAGACTCTGCAGTGAACAATTTAACTGGGCCCCTACCCCCACCTCCGACTACCAGTACAAACAAAGGCCAGAGTATCCCCTGCTATATGGAAAATAGCTGATCTAAAACATTTTTCACCAGTACTAATCATGTTGGCCAGATACCAAAATGGTTGAACAAGCAATCACTAGCACATAGATTAAGTCATTATACATCTTATAAATAGGGATAAAGTAAAAAACAAAGATTAGTATAAAACATAAATAGAATTCCTGGCAGCATAAAATATTTTGAGTATTTCATCAGCCCCAAGCACTCACCACTGTCAAGTTTGTTTGAAGGATTCATTGTGATGTTTGTGTTTACATAGTGACAAGCCCATCATACTCATTTGCAAATAAAATATAATTTGAAAATGAATGTGTACATTTCTATGGTGAGCTCTTGCCAGAAAATTATTTACTTGGATTTTCTATTCCATTTCGTCCTCCCACTTCTCAAGTTGCTTTGGCACAATTTCAATTTATCAGTGTGGTCCCTATGGTTATAAATCTGTTTACCCAGTTTGTAACCAAATTCATTTTGAATGCATGAGAAGCCATTCTAAGGTCAGAAGTATACAGCGCAGGGTGAGACATGAGCAAACTTAAAACCTGTCCAGAAACAACTCAAAGCAGAAGCCACATAGGAAAAACAATTCAAATGCCTACTTTAAAAAAAAAAAATCTGCTTTTCAACCTGAGCCTTATGAAATGGCAGCAATTAGAGCAAATATAAACCTTCCTTGTCTTTAAATGGTGAGAGACTGTCAGTATATTATTTATTATATCAATAAATTCCATATCCAAACTTAACCATTTTTAAAAATCACTAGTATTTTAAGAAAAAGTTAAATATCCCCAAGCTTTAGAGAAAACAAACACATGGAGAGAGACATCACTCTGTTCAAAATCAACCTCCACTTCTCTTGTGTGATTCAAAACTTTTTCCACGTTCTACAATCTACAAACTGTCAATATAGCAAAATGAAGAGTGGAATAACTGCAATTTAAGTAGATAATCCAGAGAGAAAAGGAGTACAATTAAAAAGAGGGATTAATGGCTGGACTGCCCAGACTGAAGGCAATGGGTAGCTGTTAAACTCCTCACTTGACTCATTCTATTTAGTTCCAAATGAAACTAAAGATTTCTTTTCTTTTAATTAATTTCCTTCTAGGACATCTGCTCTGGGATCACTTGGCAGTGTATCTGTACATCCCTCACACTAGGGCAAATTTCACATGTACTCCATGATAACCCATTAACTACTAGGCAGAAAACAAAATTACCAGTGGAAAAAAAGGAGGTATGTGAGATTAATTTTCCCAAATACTGATTTCTATCCAAAACCCAAACTTTCCAATAAAAAGCAATTCCCCCTCAGATGGCTCCTTCACAGATAAGTGAAAATGCCATGTGCCTGAATAATGAGAATCACTGAGAACACAGTTTAAACGGCTAAAGGATAATTCTGCATTGCTTTACCTTCTAAAATGCTTTTGGCCAGCAAACTGGGTGCCCTGACTTGCCTCTGGTACACTGCTTTGCGCTCGAAATTATGCTGTTTCCCAGAAAGCCCCTTCTTGTCCTGTAAACACAAGAAACATAATCAATAGAGCCCTGAAAATAAAAAAAGTGTAACAGAAGGGAGAGGCATGAGTAATCCTCCTCCTTCTAAATTTATTTATTTTTCCATCCCATGTGAAAATGATTCTACACAAATTAACATCAGCACCTCTTAATTCCAGGACAATTAACTAGATGCTCTGTCCGAACCATCCAACTGGGAGGCAAGGGCCCGGGATTTCCCTGGGGCCACTGTGTGAGAGTCATCTAGACATAGTCCACATTCAGAAATGGGGGGACAGCCGGGGAGGAAGTGAAATTCACAGTGGATGAGATGGTAGGAGCCGGACCCTAAAACAAAGCTGTGGCGAACCGCTGTGACCTCGGAGCCCAGCCTAGGGCCAAAGACGCCGCCGGGCACCCGACGTTGGCCAGAGATGTGAAGCAGGTTTCTCCTCGAAGCAGGGCTGATGGGATCGATGGGATCGGGTACAGGGGGTTCACGGGGAAAAGTCGAAAGTTTTCAGGTCTGCCCAAAACTCCAAGCTGTTCACTGGGCACCCGAAGGTGAGCAAAACCAGAGTAGGTGGAATTCCGGGCCCTTCCCCACCCGCGTCCCCTCCCGCACGCCGCGGGGAGCTCGAGCGAACGCAGAGCCCGCCTTGCAACACGCGGGACACCGGAGGAGGCCGCGCCGTGGCCCAGGCACCTCTGGAGTCCAGCGCGCCGCGCTCTCTGGGGCCCTTGGGAGGCTTCCCATGAGGATCACTGCCCAAGGCTTGCATGTGGTCCACTCCCGGCCCCTTCTCGCCAAAAAATAGTACCAAAATTATCCTTCCACCCCCAAAAAGTCTCTCTTCGGAGCGCGCTTGCGCAGGGACACAAGGACACACACACACAGTCCCCGGCCGAGGTTCAAGAAGACCCTCTCCATTAAACAAGATTCAGGCTCTCCTCACAGCCATAAGCCCCGCGCTGGAGGCAGAGACCTGTCAACTGGTTCTTAGGTAGTTCTCCTCGAAGGCAGACGTTTCTTCTAAATTCCACGTCACTTTTGTTCTCATCTGTAAAAAATGGCAACCCACTCCAGTCTTCTTGCCGGGAAAACCCCCTGAACAGAGAAGCCTGGTGGACTATAGTCCGTGGGGTCGCAGAGTAGGACACGACTGAACACACACGTAAATAGGCAGCACTTTCCTAAATGGCCCGTGACTGCGGAAGCGCTGTGAGCTCTACGTGCTGGGTGGTTCTTTTTCTCGATCAGCTGGGTAACACGGCCATGGACTTAGGGCGCTGCATGGGCCTCTGTCCTCCGCTTCCCCCCAACACCACCAAAATAAACGTTAAAATATAAAAAATCGAATTAAAATTATGTCCCATATGTCCCCAACGGAACTAAACCACTATCAAGACCTCTCTGCCTGCTTAACACAAAATCTTTTCTGCCAAGTTCCCTAGCGATGGCCACGGCTTCCTGCCTCCCGACACCGCAGGCCAGCGTGGGCGGAGGTGTCCTCAACATCCTTCTGAGGCAGGGCCAGGCGCCTCGAAGACCCGGGCCGGAGAGTGTGCGGAACCCGCCTCCCCGACTCCCGACCCCCACCGCGGCCCGGGACACCCGGGAAGGGGCGAGCTGGCAGGCGGGTACGCACCTCCGTGGCCTGCTGTCTCCGGAGCGCCACCTGGGCGGCCATGACGCGCTGCCGCTCCACCACCAGCAGGCAGTTGGCGCACTGGCAGTCACGCCAGCGGCAGAAGCGCTTGTGGCCCTTGAGGCAGGACACCACGCCGTGGTTGCGGCAGCGCGCGCACTTGGGCGTGCGACTGAGCTTGCGCGGCTCCGCGCCGCCGCCCGCGTTCGCGCCGCGCTCCGGGGGCCCCGCGGGCGCCTGCGAGGCCTGCGGCGCCGCGGGCGGCCTTGGCGCCAGGGCTCCCTGCCGCTCCGGCCGCTCCGGCAACCCTGGGGATGCGGCCGCCTCCTCCCCGTCGCCCTCGTCCTCCGCGTCGACGTCGTCCTCGTCCTCCGCGTCGTCGTCGTCCTCGTAGGCAGGCGGCGGGCTGGGCCCGGGCGGCGTTGGCGGCGGTGCCCCGCAGCTGTCCTCCTCCAGCTCCAGGCTCTCCACGTCGATCTCCCAGTCCAAGGCGGGACCCGGCTGCCCGTCCGCCATGGCGCACCACGCCTCGCCCGGGCCTATGCTCAGTGGCCTGCGCTCTGGAGAGACAGGAAAACACCCAAAGACCCACCGACCGACTGCCGTCAGGCACTGGCCCCAGGCCTGGGGCTCAGAGCGCCTGGTCTGCCCGCCTCCGACCTCTTGAGAAGCCCACTTCTCTATATGTCCTTCACATCCAGACCACACGTGCATTTATTTCTTGTATCTTTAGGCCCCCTCACGGATCTCCAACCCAACAAGGTTTCTATCTGTGCATTCTAAGTGCTCTGTGAACACCTGACCTTTAATCACAGCCCTCTCTGGCTTTACACATGCTTTTGGGACAAGTCCCTGGGTAAAGATAGTGTGTTCAACTACCACGGCTTTGCCACTAGTCAGGCTTTGCCATATCCAACTAGTTTAGCCATGATGAATATAAAAATGTCCATGGAAGAACTGTTTTCTTTCAGATCACAAAGGACTTTCGGACCCTGCGAGGTACCACCCACAATACCCACACACCTGTCATCCTCCTACACCTGTCAGGCTTGGAGAGGTTCTCTTATCCTCCCCCAAACCCACCCCACACCCCAGCACACTCCCCCCAACCCAGAGTACTCCAGATTTAATCAACTAAAAATCAAAGTTGTTTTGCTGCCAATAGAGTCCCATGGGGACATTGGACACAGAGCTGCAGACACCCGTCCAGCATCAACAGTGTTTCAGCCCCGCAGCACTAAAGCCAGGCGGGCTCTGTGTACATCGTTCATGCTTTGCACTTAAAGACAAGACATACAAGTAGAATAGGAAAGGTAGGGAAAGATGATTCACGTCCTTTGCCCACCCCAGCAACATCACATCAACTCACCAAGACTCTGAGGCCCCGGCTAAGCAGCCTAGGCAAAAGAAATCCAGCCTTGGAACCTTGCTCTTGGGCTGCTGGCAGTGCTTGCAAACAGAAATCGGGGTCGCCACACCCTGTCAGGAAATCGGGGCTGACAGCTGGAGGCCCGGAGTCCAGTGGATGAGGAGTGGAAGAGAAGGAGCATGGGGAAGGTGAGTCAAATTCTTAGCGACCACGCTCCGCACATCCCAGACTCTGATCATTCCTCAGCAGCCAGGCGCTTCACCTCGCTGAGGCTGCTTCTGGCTTTCTCTGACCCTAGCTGAACTGGAAGGTTGGGCCGTCTTGACCAGGTTTCGATCTCGAGTTCCCGGAACGCGCGGAAGGGCGGTCGCAAGCAGCAGCGAACGGCGCAGTGCCCGTGGCTGCAGTCGCCAGCCTCGGCTCCCTTTCCTAGTATTATCCGCTCGGGCCCCCGAGCTCTGTGCCCGCTGATTGGCCGGTTGTCAGGCGGTGTGCACGCTGATTGGCCGAGGCGCTTTGGCCCGGCGCTCCCCGCCTCCTCGCGGCCGCCGCGCCCCTCCCGCCGCGCTCCGCCAGAATCCTCCCTGGCGGCCTTCGGTGCAGCCGGGAAGTCTGTCCCGAGGTTAAAACCGAAGTGTGACGGCGCCGGCGGGAGCGATGTCGCCATTTATCTCTTGGGCTAGAAAATAAGCAGACAACAGCCTTACAAATCACGTTGTCCTCAAGAGAAAGTAACAGACAACGAGGTCAGCTTTCAGAAAAACAAGTCATCAGCATCACTAGTGTGTCTGCGACTCAATCATTAACCCAGTATTAGGAGCGGAAATAAGAGTAGAGCACGGAGGCATCCTACTTTCTCCTGCAAGAATAAATCAACGGTTACCATGCACCACAGCGCCGGCTTAGAGGACTTAATGACCTGCAGATACTTTTGGGGCTAGCGCCACTCACCCTCAAGGTGAAAAGTGGTTCCTCGTTAACTTTCACCACGCCCGTGAGACAGGCAGGTCACCAAGTCACTTATATTTTTCTATATGAATTCCTGTGAGTTGATTTGGGAGAGAACGGATGTACGTACGTGTCACTAAGAGATCTAAGTACAATATATTCACTCTAAGCATTTTTTTTTAAACGAAACCTCCTTTTACAGAGGACTTTTTGGTATTCGTGAATGTATTTATAAGAGGGAAAAGGGCTCCTTCGTAAATCTCTTACGTAAATGTTTAACAACGGTTACGTTTCCGACATCCTGAAAAAGGGAATTAGTCTTCCTGAATGTTTTTCTGACATCCTGAAAAGGGGAATTAGGGAATTCAATGCTGCATTTTATTTCTTGAACTAAACATAAAGTCACTTGAACACTTTTTCTAGTTATGCCTTTAAATAATCAGTGCCTCTTAGGATTGGTTTAGAAGGCAGATTAGAAAACTGAATGCCAGTGCACTGAACACATAGTAGGCCCGCTACAGATATTTGTTAAACAAAGTAAATTACTGAAAGTTAGAAGTTAACCGCTAGTGGTAAAGAACCCGCTTGCCAATGCTGGAGAAGCAAGAAACGTGGGTTTTGATCCCTGGGTCGGGAAGGTCCCCTGGAGGAGGGCATGGCAACCCACTCCAGTATTCTTGCCTGGAGAATCCCACGGACAGAGGAGCCTGGCCGGTCGAAAAGAGACCGACACGACAGAGCAACTGAGCAGGCAAGCAGGCAGAATTAACCAAGCTCGAAGAGGTGGGAACGAGGCATCTTAGGAAAGACTACTGTGAAACTAACGGTATGTGCTGGAGGCGCAGGTATGCCAAATCCTCTGGCGATGCGGAAAGTTCTTCCCTAGTTACCGGGCACTGGGATTTCTCTCTGTGCGGGTTCTTCTCCCTAGAGCCGCTTTCCATGCCCAGCAAAGGAAGTAGAGAAACAGTTCTGTTTATTGCTGTCGGCTGCTCAGTCCCTCTGGGCATTTCGGAGGGTGACATGGGAGCTGTGTCCACTCAAACACAGGACAAAGAGCCAAGCAGACTCCTGTTTGGCACCACCTAGTAACACTGTGATTGTTAACCTTTTGCGTAGTTTCTTACACTCATCAATGCGCGTGTATTCACCAGTGTTAGAGAGTCTGAATTCTTGAGGGCAGAAGTGTGTTATTTGTCCCGTTTTTTCCAATGATGAAACCAAAGTTCAAAGAGGAGCCCTGGGTCACCCAGTGGGAAGGCAGTGGACTGGTGTGCAAGGTCCTAGGTCGGCCTCTGTTCTGAAGTCTCAAATTCGAGAAGCCCTTCGCTTCAAGCCAGAAAAACTCACAATGGTTTCGTATTTTTTATTTTATTTTCCTGCACGGCTTCTGATTTTAGTACCTGCCCTTCTGTCTCCCCGTTAGCTACGTTTTTACCTTTGTAAACAGCCTTTTCATTGCTTCTACCGAGATGTGCTAACGAACTACAAACTTCCAACACTGCGGGCTGCATGGGCAAGCAGTTGGCCAACTGGGTTTTTATTTAATTTAGTGTTTTTACCGCAGGAGGGGGCGGAGGACAGGAAATCATTAGCCCTTCGCTAGTTGTTTTAAACATTAAGAAACAAAATTAAGAAAGTAGGTTTGCTAAACTAGTGGTTACCCTAAGGGAGAGGGAAGGCACAAAAAAAGTTTGCAAATTTTGGGTAACTCGATTGAGGGGAGGGGGAACCAAAAGAGAATGAGAGGGGAAAGGGGGCGGGATCTGCTGTTTCCTAAACATAAAATAAGCAAGACAGGCAGCCCTTGAACTAGTTCGAGTTGTAAAAGCTGCTACACAAGGAGGAAACGCGTGCAATTTGTGAACAGTAAACCGTGCGGGCTGAAACCAGGACAAGGGATAGGAGTTGGGGGGAGGCGGGGCACCTGAGGACCAAGAAGGCAGCTCCTGAAAGCGTATGGAGATTGCGAGGCCCTCAGAAGTCTGAGCCCGTCGTTGCGCCTTCCCCGGCGCCGCATCCGGCTAGATTTGGTGAAAGCTGTGCCCGAGAATTTTCTGGAGGGGTGGAGCTCTCTGGATCCAGGTGGGTGGGTCCTGGACCGTTCCCTCCACTGCACGCCAGCCCCCACCCTTCCTCCCTCATTAAAAATCTACATTGCAGCCCTATTGCTTCCTCCGGACTTCCCCACCCATCTCCAGGTACCTTCGCCATCCTGTCCTATTCTCCTTGCACCCCACCTGTGGTACTTTGGGAGCAAGCAACTGTACTTGTGATCCCGTTGAATTACACTCCATTCCCTGACACTGAATTCCCCAAGAAGATGAAAATCCCTCCAATTGCTGAGAGATGAGATGGTGTGGGAGTGGAGAAGTTTTTATCTTAGGAGGAGTTTAGGAAAATCTGAGGGACTCTGATATTAAATCAGAAATTATCTGGATGGAGGCGGGGCCACGACTGCAAAAACTGGTTAGTAAACTAAATATACAGAGGCAGCAGGAGTGAGAGAGCCTGGGCTGGTTGTTGGTTGTTCCATCCATTACCTTATTTGGTTAATTATATCCCTGGGCCTCAGTTGCCTTATCTGCAAAATGGGAAGAATGTCCATCTTTGGCCCGTTGTAATAAAGAGAACAGTTTTCACACAACGGGAGTTTAATAAACGTTATTTAGCCAGCGGGCGGCCGCCCTTGCAGCCCCAGGGGGCCCAGCCACCTAGTGTCTCCCAAACTTGACTGACAGGCGAGGGCGCCAGGAACCCAGCTCCTTTCCCCAGGGCCTTCTCTGAAATGGGGTCAGGCCCTGACTGCGGATCTATTAGGGGAAGAAACAGAAGTTCTTTTGGCTTGTAAACCAACAGTAAATTACAAAGTGCAATTCGGCGTCTCTCTTGTAAATTACAAAGCTGCGGGCTGCCGTGGTCTCGCCAGCCCCCCATGGTGGGGGTAGCTTCGGGAGCGTCTTCTTTCCGAGCTGGCCGGCGCTGGGGGCCCCTTCTTCTTCTCCCTCTCCCATTGCTCCAACTCTCTCTCATCTCGAACCCCTTTCCTTTCTCTTGAATCTCGGACACACGCAATGCTAACTTCCCCCTACCCCACATCAAGTCAATCAAGGGAACCTGGAGGGGTGGGGGACAGAAGGGGGGGGGTGCGGCGGAGAGTTTCCCTCTTTCAAAATGATAGGGACTTTCTTTTCTGTTCTCAAAAAAAAAAGCACGTTTCAAATTGGCCGTGCTCGCCCGTCAATTCCTTGCTAAGAATCGCAGCCGGCCGCCCACCATGCCAGCTCAGGTCCCACTTCAGGACGCCGAGCTAACCAAGCCTGGCCCGGCCATTCCCGCCGCGTTCTCTGAGGCCCCGGCTGCTAGAATGGAGCGGGTTTCTGGGTGCAGCCTCCTCTAGGGTAATCGGCTTGGAGGCCGAGAGTCTGGGTTTGGGAATAGGCTCTCAGGGGTTAAAATGCTTGATCTGCGGTTCCCTGGCTGGGGACATCGAGGAGGGTCCTTAACTCCCTCTGCACCTCACTTTGCACAACTGCAAAGTGAAATTAACCTTAAAGGAAAAGATATGTGCAGACTCCTTGGCACGGTGACCAGCCCGCACTAAAGGGTCAGTACCTAGGAGTTATTTGTCTTCGTTTTATCATTTGAACTCAAGGAACTGGCCTGCGGAGAGCCCGAGGGAGCCCGAAGCCGGGAAAAGCGAGCCCGATTTCCTGGGTCCTCGCCCGACCTTCCAGCATCCAGGCCGGGAGGTGAGGCCTGCGCTGCACCGCCAGCCTGAGCGGCCTCGCGACGTCAACCTGCCGGCAGCGCCCGGGGTGTTGAATGGTTTTTGGAACCTTCTAAGCACCGCAGAAGAGCTCTGCTGTGGCTAATAAACGCTCCGGTTTCTTTTCAGAAGACGACCTCAAATCCACCTCCTCTCGCGGAAGGCTACTCTTAACGTTATATCGTCTCACAACTTCGACCGGCTGTGGACGCAGCGAAATAAATAATCCCAGATGGGACTGCGGCGATTCGATTTCCCAATTTGCTTTGCGTAATCAAATATATGACCTGTCAGAAGCCGAGAAGAGGGGGCCGGGGGATGAGGCAGCTAGCGGAAGATAACTGTTCTCCGCGAGGCTTTAGAAGTCTCCTTTTCCCTGCTCCCTGCTCTGCATGTCTAGTTAAAAAAAAAAAAAAGCTGCACAAAAAAAGGACAATGTGATCTGCGCTCTCATCCCTCCTCCGTGAGAAGCAAGGTTTAAATCACAGGCATTTATGACAGAAGGGGACGCACTTAGTCAGCGCCACCTCGTTTTACAAACGGAGACGAAAATTGAGTTTTAGAGAGTGCGTGGGACTTGCTAAGGAGACACGCAGCTCCATAACGACTGCGTGGGACCAAAGGGTCCACAGTAACTCCACCTCCACCTCAAAGTCTTCACACCATTCAAACAAACAAAAATGTGCCCTTTGTGGGATGCGGATGGAGTTAGATGCCGGGTGTGTGAAGCAATCCTAGAACATCCAAAGATCTACCAGCCAGCCCGACCCAACCCGCTGGCAGCTTCCATCCTCCATGCTGGAAAATGTGGCTCAATTCACTTGGGGGTCAAGCAGCTTCTAGGAGATGAAGCAACTGCAGGCGTCCCTGACTTCTCAGTGCCCATTCCAAATGGCCGTCAGGGGAGGTGGAGGCCCAGGCTTGTAGTGGGGCCTGGGTTCCACCCCGTG